TTAGTGAACCAACACTGACTTATTAGCAGTAGTAATATTAAGCAGACTCCAGTTTGGTTTTTATTTTTAAGATAGATCTGATATTTAACTTTTCCTGGAGAGACACAAACAAAGGTGTATTCACCCCAGATAGGGAACTCATGACAGACCAAACAAATAATTCCAAGCCCACTTCATGAACCCCAGTTTATTTAGATCACTTATAGGAGCATGGACGAGGGGTTCATTACAGGAACGTGGTTGACTGTAAAGCAGCTGTCACCAAACACCCCACTGCACCAGGGAAGAGTCAATGGCTGTACCCTGGAGCTCCCACATGCCTTGCACACAGGTCCTCAAGGAAAGCTTCACCCTATGACCACTGCTTCTAGAGCCTTGGGGAGGAGTCTTGTCAAGTTTGGGACTTTCTCAGCTTCCTTAGCCTTGCTCCTCCTTCATCCTACCAGGATGGTCCATTTCATTTCCTGAGAAAACAGCTACTCCACAGGGTCTCACTATGTAGCCTAAGCTGGCTTTAAATGTTCAATCTTCTTGCCTCAGGTTCCCAAGTTCTAGGATTACAGGTGTGCACCACCACACTTGCCTTAGAATCCTTTGTTTGACAGGGAATGGCAAGGTTCTTTAACTACATGGGGACTGAGAGATAATTGTACCATCTTTGGAAAATTCCACCTGCCACAGTGAGGTTTAAGCAGAAGCCAACTGCAGTGTGGTGGTTTTCCTCTGAAACATAACCTCCTGGGAGGAAGGCTCAGAGGACTCAAGAAGCTCAGGGAAGTTAGAGACTCAGAAGCTCCTCCCAGGGTTACAGAGGCAATAAACAACTGCTAGGGCCAGAGACCCTTCTGTGCTGCTACCCAGGAGCTGAGCTGAGCAGCCGAGGGGCAGCTCTGAGTCATCCATGCTCCTGGAAGTAACTCCAGTAAACTCACTGATTCACTAAGCTAGACGGAGGAGGAACTTTTTCCTCAGTCTGCCATTAGTGCCCTATCTGTAGTGACTAGATGCTCCTGTCTCCCAAGGAAAAGTCACATACACCAATCTTGTGCTTTTCCTTACTGCTCCTTTATAACTACTGTAGGAATTCAATTTTCTCTGCAACTTGAATAAAATTCAGTAAAGTATCATTGCAGTAGGCTCTGTTTGGTGTCCCTCTCTATATGAAGTTTTTATAACACATATCTTCACTAGTGAGCTCCAGAATAGCCCTATGACTTGAACAGGAATGATGTTCCACTTTAGGAAGAGCCTTTACCTGCCAGCATAGCTTATGCTCACTCTTTTCCTTTGCCTCAGCAATGACAAGCAATGTTCCAGACAGAGGTGACTGTCAGTCTGGAGTCACAAGGCTGCTACAGTTGATATGGTCTAGCACACTGCTTTAGGATGGGTAGAGCAAGGGGCATGTGCTGCCTAGTTCTATACCTCTCTAGAACACTGGTTCTTGTGTGCTTTACTGAAATGTCAAAACAGAAAATCTTGATTTAATCATATCTCGCTGTCTACTGTTCTCTTAGGAGTCAATTTTCTCTGGGTTTATGTATATGCAAATATTTTATAAAATAACCTGTAGTGTTGGTTTGAAAACTTTAGAAAAAGAGAGAATATGTAGAGATCCAGGACTTCAACTACAAGTGGTATTCCATCAATCCTTATACGTTGGCAATGCTTGCTTTTCTGACAAGTGGGGAAAAGTCCTATTTTAAAAAGGTGTTGGGGGAAAAACTGCACTGAATATACAAGTTGACACATCTCCAGCACTAGTTTTGGCTTCCTGATTCAGATATAACTATTTTTAAAGATCTTTTTCATTTCTTCCTTCCACAGTGCCCCAAAGCCTAGAAATATGCATATGATCACAATGTCAAAAGAATGTCAGAACTGTCCCAGCCCTCTGCCCATTTTCCTAATCAGCATAAATATTATGCACTGTTCTAACAGGTGGCTACTATGAATTGTGAGAGGGTTTTTTAAAAACAACTTTTTATCTAACAGATAAGGTGAAAGATTAAGAAAGTTATTTGGCCTTCCTAAAGTTGCTGGTTGTCTTTGGAGCTGAAGCCAGAAAGCACGTTTCTGCTCAAGTGCTACTTCCTTTCCTCTCAGGACAAGAAAATCAGATGTGCGGCAGGGACCTGCAGTGCTCTAGCACACTTCCTGTGATATGTTTTTCTTTTTACTAATTTAGAATTTTTTTTTATGTATATGAGTGTTTTGCCTGAAAGTGCACCTGTGTGTGTGCAATATTTTCGGGGGCCACAAATGTTGGATCCTGTAGAACTAGAGTTCCTGTTAGTTGTTAGCTGCCATGTAGGTGCTGGAACCCAAACCCTGGTCCTCTGGACCTGCCCAGCTCCCTTCTGCTATACTTTGGGATGGGAATCATGGACTATCCACGTGTATGTGGGCCGCACAAGAAATTAAAACCACGTAATTTGACATTTCTTTTGGCTCATAAGCAGAGAGGTGATTGATGTCACCTCCTTTATAAGTAACTGGGATAACATGAACTCACTGTGAAACAGAGGTACAGTGGTGCGGGAGGTACTGACCAGTGCAGGCAATGATGAGGTAGGGGTGTGAACTGCACATGCATATCCTCTTCCAGACAATCAGCTCTGTGAATGCAAAAACCTAGTATGTTTTGTTTGACACAGAGTCTCAATATGTGTATGCCATACCTGGCTTCTCTCTCTTCAATATCCTTAAACATGGTTTAAATGGTCATCAAATGTTATTTGAAAAGCAGACTGAGTCTGTGAATACCATACATAAAATCCAACATCTTCATCTCTTTTTTTCAGAGAACTCTATGGATACAAGTGGGCTATGCAGTCACTGCATTCATCTCACTACCTAGATCTCCAGGTGTGGAAGGGTCGTCTTTACGAAAATCCATATGGTCCAGTGACCTGTGAACTAAGATTATCTGCACCTTATTCTTACCCAATATATAATGGTGGACAAAGGACATGAAACAATTTTGAAAAATCCTACTCAGAAAAGAATGGACGGTGTTAGACCTGGTCTATAACCATGCTGGTATCTTCCTAAACAGGCTTGTGGTGTTCCTTACCCTAAACTCACCTTCTAGAAGGATAGCCTCTGAACTTTGTTCTCTGAGTTAGCTGTCTTTCACCTTTTTAGTTTTTTCTTTTGTTTTCTTGGAAAAGGGGATATGCAGCTTCTGAGGCTGATTTACCGAATAAGCTTAGCTCTAACTGTTTTTTTTTTTTGTCACTGTTACATTTTTTGTTGTTGTTTCTTTCATATATAGTTAAGACGTATCATACAAATTAAGACATTCATCTATAAGTATAAACTTCAGTGAATTTTGTTTGGCTGGCCTAAAACTTGTTAGGTAAACAAGGCCAGCCTCTAACTTCCACAGATCCATTTGCTTCTGCTTCCTGAATACTGGGATTAAAGGTGTGCATCATATACCTGGCAACTTCACTGAATTTTATCTAGTACATACACTACCACCTCAAACAAGACATAGAATAGAATGACAGACTACATCCATTAGCCAAAAAGTTCTCTTGTACTTCTTTTGTGGAATCTGGATCATTTGACTACTACATTTTCTGACAGCCTTGACTTTAAGTACTGGCGATTAAACCTGGGTATTGTGTAGGTGAACCAAAGTTCTCTATCTTAGGGCTATATTCCTCAACTCTCTCATTTCTATTTTGAGACAGTTTCACTAGCTTCTCAGGCTGGCCTTGAATTTGCAATCCTCCTGCCTCAGCCTCCCAAGTAGCTTAAATGACAGTTCTGTGGCAGAAGCCCAGCCTTCTGGATCTCATGTGTTTAAAATACCATTCTTGGGCCAGTGGGTTGTCTCAGAAATAAAACTATTCACTGCCAAGCATGACAAACTGAGTTCTAGCCCCAAAATTCACACGGTAGGAGAAAACTGACACTTACCAAGTTGTCTGACCTCCATCCATCCCCCAAGTGCCAAAATAAATAAATGTGAAAAAAAGTAAGCAGTCTTCTACTATTCTGTAGGTGATTTTGTTTAAGAGACTTGATATGATTTTTGGTTTTTGGAAGCCTCATGTGGTTAGGAATTGAAGGATTACAGGTCTGAGCATTATTTTCATTGCAACAAAATTTACCTACCTGCACCAAATATTGAAACTTGTTGGCTCATAACTGGATTCTGGGGCATATTATGATTGGGACTACCTCATATCATCTTCAGTTTTTCTGTCATTTCCCTTGGTTCTGGCCTCTTTTGAGTTTTGGCTTTTCAGGTTCAAGCATATAGGAAATGAATGGCTTAATTTCGTGTCATCAGCATATGATGGCCTGGCCTGCGTCAAGCATTCTTCCTGAATCTATTAATAACACTGGGGAAATCTGATACTCAGGCTAGATTAGCTTACCAAAGGTGTCACTGGAACCACAGCGGTTACTGAATTTAAGGAAACTTTTAGCATTCTAGTTGTCCCAGTCGGCTTAGAGAGATGAACTCGTTTCACTAATCATCTGTTATGAGAATCTTTACATGCAATAACCCTTCTTATAAATACATGTGCACTTTAGAAGTTACGTGGTTAGTGTCCCGGGCAGCCAAGCCCACTAGATTTGGTTCCCCTAAGTCCGCTCTCCTAAATCATCCCACAAGAAGTCCAATCTCTGTCCGAGCGATACGATCCGCAGAAATAAAGTCGGCGGTGCGGCCTCCATCCTGGAGAACCTCAAAGGCAGGGATAAGGTCCGTAAGGTGCCCGGGCCCTGCGGCCGCCCCATTCAGGAGTGGACACACTCACGGAACGGGGTCAACGTCGGATAAACTTTGGACGCCACCTGAGGAGCCTTCGTGGACTCCTCAACACTTCCGGTTGAGTACCAGCAGCTGACAGGCCAGGACAACCCAGATACACACTCTGACTCGGCTACAACAACCCCAGGAAGGCCTAGAGCCCAGCGTGCCGGCCACAGGAGCCCCGCCCCGCGACCGGCTCCTCGCGACGTCACTTCCGGTCACAGGCCTTTCGCTTCCGGATCAGTCGAGCCTCCTGCTCTTCGCGACTAGTGGAGCTGCCGTGCTGTCTGCCTGGACTTACCGAGCCTGGTGTCGCCCGGGGAAGCGCTGCGCTGCCCACGGCCGCTGCGGAGGAGGAGGAGGAGACGCGGGCCCGGGCCGCCGCTCTGCCCGCCGCGGGGCCCGGGAGGCGGGAGCAAGCGCGGCGGGGCTCGCGGAGCCCGCGACCCCCTTCCCCGGCCGCCGTGCCCACCCTGCCGGGGAAGGCGGAAGATGCCGGTGAAGAAGAAGAGAAAAGCCTCTGGGGTGGCAGCGGCGGTCGCGGAAGACGGCGGCCTCAAGAAGTGTAAAATCTCCAGGTACTACCCCCCGCCCCCACCCGGCGGGTTGTCCTCAGTCCTCGGCGCGCAGCGGCTGGAGGAGGGGAGCCGGCTGGAGAAGGGGAGCTGGGCGGGCCGGGACGCTGGTCCTGCGCAGGCCGGCGGGTGCGGAACCCGACCTCGTGTTCGCCCGGTGCGTGTGCCCGGGCGAACGTGGACGAGCTGGAGTCGGCCCGCCTGGTCCTCCTTTGGGGTGGGGGCCAAGGACCCTAAGGGAGCTCTGTTCCTTTCAGCCTTCCTGGGTCTCATTTGCAGACCCAGAAGTAGTGCAGCTCTGCAGAGGCTTGCCTGGAGGATGTCTTTGTAGACTTACACGGGTGTCAACGACCTGGCTTCCCTGGGCCACACTGGACCGAGAATTGTCTTGGGCCACACGTATTAAGATATTGGAGAGTGAAGAAAGCCGGGCTTGAGGAATTTTGACAGCTGCCTTGGGAATAGTGGGAAGCAAAACCGTGCTGTAATTGGCCCCCAGAGTTAGCATTTGGAAGGGCCCAACCTGGACGATCCCCGCAGGCGGCCTTTTAAGTGGCTGGAGCTGCATTTTCTGGTGCCTCCACCTGTGCCAATTCCCTTTGTGGCATTGGAAAAGACCTTGCTTGCTTTTTGTTTTCTGGCATTCAGTCGCCATTAGTTAGCTCTTCGAATACGTTTTAATAATTTGAAGGCTATTGTGCTCTATTCTCTGGGAGAAAAAGAAAACAGCAGAACTGTACTTGCTGTTCTTTATGCCCTTTGTGGCACAGGCCTTGAGACGTGGGGTCCCCCCTTTGGATGTCTTTGTATCACTGCATGACACAGCGTGCCAACTTAAGGTGCTACCATTAAAACAAGGCCGTGGGGCCTGGGGAGATGGCTCAGTGGGTGCTCCTGTGTAGGACCTGGGTTCAGTTTCCAGCCGGCCCATATGGAGACTAACTGGCTTTAACTCCAGTTCCAGGGTACCCGACACCCTCTTCTGGCTTCCACAGACATTGCACCACCCAGGTGCACTTACATACATGCAGGCAAAACACTCAAAAAACAAAAACAATTCAAAAAAATAAATTAAACAAGATAGTAGCCAGGAGTTCAAGAATGAAAACCCTCTTTAAGGAGAGCTGTGCTGTTCAGAATATGAGGAAATGATGGTGTTCAATCCTTATCTTCCTTTTTTGTGATCAGTTCAGTGTGTGTGTGTGTTTTTTCTTAATGTGTTTTAGTAAAGGAGCCTAAGGAATATTTCTTGGGCAGTTCATGTAGTACCATTTCCTTTGTGTCATTTGATGGTGAACATTCCACCTGACCTAGTTATTCTACTCATTCTGTTTTTAAGAAACATTAGCAAATTTTTGCCCTCCTTTGACCATCTTACATGCAATAATGTATCCAAGATATTTAAATTAGGCCTGTTAAAACACTGGAGCAGGCAGTATTATTAGACTTAGGTGATACCCCTATGGACTTAAATTTTAAATAAGGAATTATTATTTTACATTACTCAGTTGCAGAAATCTCAGTGGTTCCCCTATGATTGTGGAAGTCTAATTATTTGAGTTCCTTGAGAAAATGCTCTCAGAAGTCTAGTATCTCTAGAGGCTGTTCTTGTACTTCCCATGTCTTCATTTTGTGGAGGAAAAACTATGTGTGGATAAATAGCTTTCACCCAGTTATTTGGGGGGTACTATTAATTGTTAATATTTATGGGTTTCTGGCGGTGGTTTTAGTTTGCTTATTTGGTTGGTTGGTGCTTTACTACAAACCCCAGGCTGGCTTGGAACTCATCCTCGTTCTCAATCTCCCAAGTGCTGTAATTAACAAATGTGCATCACCACACTGGACTTGGTTTTGTTGTTTTTTTTTTTTATTTTAATCTGTGTTATTTAGTATACTGTTAGATCCCAAGTCATCGTTTATCCTTAAAATTCTATTTGCTGGTTGATAAATAATTTTTAATGTTTAATTTTATTTTGAAATATTAAGTACCAAGACACTTCATAAGATGTGTGTTTATAAATTATCCATATATGTGGATATACATGTAAAAGACACATTTCACACAAATTAGCAGAATCACAAACTTTGCTTAGTAGTAGAGGTAATCTAAGGGCATGAGTAAGACCCTGGGTTTAATTCCCAGCACTAACCCCCCCAAAGCGAGGAGGGATATCCTTTCTTATGCTTCCTGCATTGAGACTTAGGCTGAACTGTGTAATTTGAAGTCTGGGGAGATAATTTTAGTTGCTATTTTGGAATTTGATAGCAAGCAAAGTAGAATTTGGGTTTGCCAGAAATTTTTTATGTATAGAGTGCTATTTCAGATTGTTGATGAATAACTCCCTTCTCATAATGCCAACTTAAAGAAATGCTTGTTTTCATTTGAGTGGAAAGAGTTCTTGTTGAATTTAAGTTTTTCACTAAGAACTGAGACTTGGTAATCTTAGACCTTTGTGCTTTTAGCTATTGCAGATCCCAGCCTCCTACTAGACTGATAAGTGGAGAGGAAGAGTTTTCAAGAAAGAAGTGCCTGGCTTGGTTTTACGAGTATGCAGGTAATGAAACTCATGAATGAAGAACTCAGACGTGTTAAAAAGTTGTGCTTATTTTTCTTTAAACTATTTATTTATTGTTGGCTTGTTGGTTTTAGTGCTATGTGCTGGGATCAGGGTTAAGACCAGAGGATTATGGGTTAACTAAGATTGAGTACCATTTCAAGACTAATATTTCTTTAAATATGTATTAAATAGGAGAGGGGAAACTCATTTACTATTAGTGGATAACCAGACACAGATTCATGTTACATACATTGTAACAAAAGGTACATTTAACATTTTCTGTTCTAGTATTTTAGGAAACAAAATAGGTTAAAAACAGTTTTTTATCATTCTCTAGTTTTCTGAACTAGAAACATGCTTAAGCTTTAACAATTTAAACTTCAGAAAAAACATAACACCACTTTTATTCTTTAATATTTCACCATTTAAAAAAAATTTATTGCCTTCTTGTGCATTTCATGTAATAGATTGTAATCAAATTTAGACCCTTTCCTCCATCCACGCTCCCCACTCCTACCAGATTTCATGCATTCTGTCATATATGTTAAGTCCTTTCTGGGTAAGCATTTGTACCCAGATATCCTTTAGAGCAAGTTCATCCACTGGAGTGACCATTTATTTTTTAATAATGAATAAGAAAGTAAACAGACTGATAGTAATGCAAAATGATAAGTACTAGATTCTGAAAACATCTTCAAAATTGATGGGACTAATATGAAACCCAGCCTTGCAAGTGTCAGGAAACTTTCTTTGAGGAGCCAGGTAACCTGAGCTACATGCTGTAAGCAGCTAAAGAGATCTAGGCCCAAGATGAGACCATATGGAGGCGACAGTCAAAGCCAGCCGGGGATGAGGCTAAAGAGTTAAGCAAACCCGTGAAAAAAAGAATACTTGTATCCCATTTAGTGCTGGCATTTACATGAGCATATATGGCAGTTTCCCCCTTTAGAATAGCTTTGGTCTTTTGGAGTTAACTGATTTTAAAGGTATTTTCATCTTTTTTCTCTTTCCTGGCTTTTACCTACTTTCCTGTTTTTATTTTTTGTTTTCCCTCTTATTATTCCCAAAAGCATTTGTTTAAAGATATTTATGTAGTTACTGCCTTATATATAATACTAATCCACATTAAGGTCTAAAGTGTAGTGTCTGGACGTGTACAGTTTAAGCTAACTGAAAGGAAAGCTAGACTATTTTGAAAAGGGGGCAGTAACTTTGCTGTTGGGATCAGCAAAGTGATCCCAATAGTATAATTTAAAAATTGTTTAGTAGCAGAATAGATAGATTCTTTCTAGATCAGGGGGAAAAATGCTATTACTGGTATCCCAAGACAATGACTAACCCAGTTTAAAAGTAGGGAATTAATTTTTTTTTTCTGACCTCCATTTAGAATGTTGACCCATTATTCAAAATGCCAGTTTTATTGTACACATTATATAAAATCAAAAGGTTCTCTCTTGCTTCACTTACAAAGGTTATTACATCCATAAAAATGGTCAGTACATTTTTTTCTTGCTTGTTTTGGCTCTCCTTGGAACTTCCCTGAGTATTTTAAGATTTGAATTAAATATTTATTTTCTATCTTGATATTTTAATGACATCATAATTGCTGTCTGTCAGTATTCCAGGAGATGTACTGAAATACCATTTTTCCTTATAACCATTCTGTAAAGTAGGAGGTGCTATCCACAAGTAGGAGGTGCTTCCTCATGTGATGAATGGAAAACTGAGGCATAGATGAAGTAATTTTCCAGAAACAATATGGACAAAGAACCAGGATTTAAACCACAGTTAACTGACCCTAAAGACCTTGACAGTGTCAGTAACAACTACTTTTCATTTCTACTGAAAAGCTACTAGTAAAGCATACTTTGTTGTTATCTATCCATCCAACCAATGGCTTATTTGATACTCATTGAGCACTTATGAGTTCAACACTGATAGACTTTGGATATAATGAAAAAGTCAGAGTATATTATACCCTGCCTCTTCTAAAGAGTTTGTTTCTAGTAAGGAAGATTGATCATAAACAGGTATGTATGTAGCAAGGTAACTAGAGATTGTGACGGTTTATACAGGTTACCAGTATGTGGAGGTTCAGGAATAGGGTCAGAGAGAGTCATTAAAGAATAGCTTCTCTCTGGGCATGGTGGTGCACGCCTTTAATTCCAGCACTCGGAAGGCAGAGGCAGCCAGATCTCTGTGAGTTCAAGGCCATCCTGATCTACAGAGTGAGTTCCAGGCCAGCTGGGACTACAGCAACACCCTGTCTCAAAAAGACCAAAAAACAAAAAAACAAAACAAAACAAAAGAAAGAATAGCTTCTCTGGAGACTATTTTGGCAGAACCTCCTTGATAGGAAGGAATCAGTCATTTGCTGAATAAACACTAACTGTTCAGTCTTATAGTAAAATGGAGATATTCCTCATGATAGAAGATAACAGATGCAAAGCCCTTAGCATAGTACCTGAATTCAGTAAATGTTGGGTGTTATCAAAATAGTAATAGCAGTATAGCATCCGGTCACTGGTTATGAATCTATATGTATGTTCCAAAACTAATAATCTTTGTAGCTCATTGTAACAGTACTGTCACGGAACACATTTTTAAGATTTTGTTTTTCTGAGCATCTCTTACTGTGTAGTATCAGGTCTTGGACATGTAGTGGGGAACATGTGTATTTTATATGAAATGGGGTAGTGTTTTCATGTACCCTTCAACATCCTCCTCTAGGCTTAACAGTCGTCTCTCTTGATTACTTATTATGCATAATTCACTGTGAAAGCTATGTCAAAGTTTGAATAATGGTTAGAGAAGAAGGGGCCTGTCCATTTTCAGGACAGGTGGATTATCTTCCTGAGCACCTGTAGCTGACCTAGCACTCACAGAGATCCACTTGCCTCTACCTCTGGAATTCTGGGATTAAAAGCATGTGCCACCAGGCCTGGCTGTCTTCCAGGTGTTTTTAATAAGTAAGATTAGAATTATGTAGCCTTAATGTGACAGTGTGAGCTCCATGAGCACTTTATTGGAAACAGAGCTGTTTGGAAGACTTAATTGAATTCATCTCCAGAGATTTTACCCAGTGAGTAGCTATATGAGAAGTCTATAGTTCAGAAGTATAATTTGCATGCAGTCAAGGAAAGAACTTTGGTATATGCTTTGTTTTAGCCATAGGTCTGTATTGTTTGCATTGCTTTGGGAAAGTCACTTGACACTGCATATATAAGAGCATATATATGTTATATGTAAAACCTAATTTAACTAATTTTAATCACTGTTAGTTAATTTCCCAATTTGGGAGTAGGGATGTATTTGATGAGATAACTAATATTTCTTGACATAACTTCTTTCTTTTTATTTTTTCTTGAGACAACGTCTTACTACGTAATGGTGACTGGCCTGGAACTCACTATGTTAGACCAGTCTGGCCTGGAACTCACAGAGATCCAGCTTCTTCTGCCTTCCAGTGCTGGAGGGTGAAGGCAGGTGCCACTACATCAGCTTTTTTCTTTACTCTTGTTTTCTTTTCTTGATAACTCCAGTTCTTTGTTCTAACTACTCATGTTACCTTTGAGGGCAAGCTTATGTATTGTGGCTTAAAACACTGTATCTTCTACTATATTTTTTAAAATCTTTTTTCTTTTTCTTTTTTTAAGATTCACACTCTGTATTTTTTTCTTTTTTTTTAATATGTATGAGTTTATTGCCTGCATGTAGGTAGGTGCACCCATGATGGTCAATGCCCTCAGAAGTCAGAAGAGGGCATCAGATTCCCTGGAACTGGAGTTATGAACCATTGTTAGCCATCATGTGGGTGTTGGGAATTAAACCCAGGTCCTCTGAAAGAGCAGTCAGTGCTCTTAACCTCTGAGCCATCTCTCTAGCCCCTCACACTCTGTATTTTTCAAAAAGATTTTTATGTGTTTTGCCTACATGTATATAAGTATACCATGCATGTGCCTGGTGCCCATAGAGGCTAAAAGAGGGCATTGGATCCTCTGGCACTGGAATTACAGATGGAATTGCAAATTAAAGTATTTTCTAGTCTTTAAAATAAGAAAGTTGAGTGAGGTTTTTGTTGTTGTTGTTTTTGGTTTGTTTTTGATAATTTAACATTGTAACAGTATTTCAAGTGGTAAATCTTTATAGTGGTAAATTACTGTCATAGTTAATGTTGTAAAACTTTTAGGTCAAAGATAGACACAAAAAAATCTTAGTAGTGATACAGTAGTATTTTGAGAATATTATAAAAATTTAGAAATTGCATTGAAGTTTAGTGATCTGATTCAAAATAAGGGGGGCAGTACTTGAACCTTCTTAGGCTTTATAGAATAAATTTGTTGATTCTTGCTAATTTTTTTTAAAGAAATAGATTAGTTCAAATTGGTTTTGTTTTGTTTGCAAACTAAAGATTCATATTGGTGGAATATTTCTTTACTACTCCCTTAAAAAATTTCCTTAATTCATGTTGTAGTGTTTAAAAATAAGTTTTTAATTTTGGGCTGTTATTTATACTTTACAAAGCTATGCTAAAATTCAAATTCCTTTATTTGTGGACTATTGCAATATTTTCCTGGATGCTTCTTAGTGTAGTGACTTATTTTATGTTCATAATCAATACAATAAAATTTATAAATTATTTTTGTCTTTGAAGGTCCTGATGAAGTTGTAGGGCCAGAAGGAATGGAAAAATTTTGTGAAGACATTGGTGTTGAACCTGAAAATGTATGTTTTATTTCTAAGTAGAATAAAATATAAGTGGGTTGTAGCATTTTCATAAATTTCTAAAACAGTCGCACTTTAATCTTATATGAAGATTTTTTTTATCTTCATGTTTAATACTGTGAATTTGCAGGATATTTTTAATCAGCTTGAGTTGGGCAAGTTTTCTTTTGATAAAAATACCATTTGTAATAGAATGAGAGCGATTCTACCTGCATAGCCTATTAGAATGTTTTAAGAAATTGGCACATCTCAGTTTCTTGGTAGTTAACAATCACGAAAGTTGTACTAATAGATGAAGGTTGGAAATAACTATATGAAAATGCTCCGTGTTAAATGCAGCCATGATTACCTCTGTGCTGACTTTTCCCCTGTCCTTTATGTTCTGTTCTTTCCAGATTATTATGTTAGTTTTAGCGTGGAAATTGGAGGCTGAAAGCATGGGATTTTTTACCAAGGAAGAATGGTTAAAGGGAATGACTTCATTACAGTAAGAAAAAATTTTAAAACCCAACTTTGATGGCCTATTTGAAGATCTTATTGATATTTTGTGCTTCCTCATTTTCAGGAGTAAGATTTCACCTTAAAATAGTCAAATTGGTTTGATTTGTAAAACTCAGTTTGGGGATTGACAAAATTATATTGTGGCAGATAAAATAATTGTCCTTTTTTATATTCTTTAAGAAAAACTTTAGTCTAATTAAAACCTTTTGATTCTCTTGATGAGTGAATTAGAATTACATAGAGAAGAGTTATTTGCTCATAGGTTGTTGGAGTAACAGTTTTCCCCACTTCGGAGTATGACCTCCACTGTATGAAGTTTACTTACTGCACAGTCTTCAGTTCTAGGTCCTCCTCTCTCTCCTCTGATAAAATTAACAGCAGGGTTAAGTGAGGCTTTTATGAGCTCTCTTTTCTCCTAATGGCTCTCACAAAGGAACAAGGTAGAGATGTTCTTTGGCTTCCATGAAGTCTTTAGCCATTTTATAGTTGTATCTATTCGGTGTATAAGGTGCTACCTTCGAATATCTTCATAAATTACAGAATAACTTCATTATGTGAACAGTCACTTCACTTTTCCAGAGTAAAGTGTTCAATTTCAAATCAATTAGGAATTTTGTGGTAATTTTATATTATGTCATAATATTGATTCAGAGTGTTACTAACTCAGCTTTCTAACACATCAAAGCGTTACTGTATAATCTAACATTTTTTACTTGTTCATTTATTTTGCTTTGGATTCAACTCAGGGCTTCATACATGCCAAACAAATGCTCTGCCACTTAGTCACATCCCTAACCCCAATTTATATTTTTAAGGCAGAAACTATGCAATGTGGTTTCCTGTGTTGATTATGATTGCATTAGCATGTGTAACTAACTATTCTTAATTTTTGTTTGCTTGTCCCGTAGTTTATAAAGAAAAAGATTTGTGTCTGTTCATAGGACAGTGAATTTATGTATTTCAATTTTCATTGTGTATTGCTTTTTTTAAATTTCATTTTTATTTTGTGTGTATGAGTATTTTGCCTGTGTGTGTATGTATGTGCACCACATGAGTGCTTGGTGCTTGCAGAGGCGAAAAGAGGACATCAGACCCCCTGGAACTAGAGTTACAGACAGTTATTGGCTACCATGTGGGTGCAGGAAACCAAACCCAGGTCCTCTGCAAGAGCAGCCAGTGCTCTTGACTGCTGAGCCATCTCCAGCCCCTGCATTGTGTTTTTTTCCCCTCTTTTTAAACCAGTATTAACATATGTATATTTTGTATTTTTGTCCTTGGGTTAAAGATTTTCTGAGGTGAACCATATTATAATTTCTAGAATGGATTTTTAAAAAACTTTTTCAACTTCCTTTTTTTTTAATAAGCACAGAATCTGAGGTTCAAAAAAGTTAAAATATTTGACAAAGTTTGCATAG